TTACAGCAAGAAAACAAAATATAAGTGCTTCTATATTTAGTTGAAGCAAAACAAGTCGAGGACAACGTTTGTAGTTCGGATAGAGTATGAGAAAGTCACTTATTGTATCAACATATATGTATCATGAAACAGGCTGAGGACAACGTTTGTAGTTCGGATAGAGTATGAGAAAGTCACTCATTGTATCAACATATATGTATCATGAAACAGGCTGAGGACAACGTTTGTAGTTCGGATAGAGTATGAGAAAGTCACTTATTGTATCAACATATATGTGTCATGAAACAGGCTGGGGACAACGTTTGTAGTTCTGATAGAGTATGAGAAAGTCACTTATTGTATCAACATATATGTGTCATGAAACAGGCTGGGGACAACGTTTGTAGTTCTGATAGAGTATGAGAAAGTCACTTATTGTATCAACATATATGTATCATGAAACAGGCTGAGGACAACGTTTGTAGTTCAAGTATAGGGTATAGGAATAATTTTTCTGAATTATAAGATAGCTTGAGATGTTAATTTAATTGTGCATCGTAGAAAATATAACACGGATTGAGAATAAGTAGGAAGTGAGTTTGAATAATCTACTACAAGAATATTATGTTAGGGACACTTTCGTCTTCTAATTTGTTAATACAGCTAAGCACGTAGAAACCTAAACCTCAATTCTAGCAACACAGGAGAGAAAGCAAACGGCTGAATATATTGTAGAAATAATAACGAGATTGGTCTAGCACTAAGGACATACCGATCCATCATCGGAGAAATCTAATTGGTCAAGCGTTGTGACAAATGGCATCCACCTTTTTCAAATTGAATAAGCAAAATTTGTATCAGCAGTTTATCCCACCTAGAAAAGTTGGCGATCCTCTAACCACTTTGGGAGAAGCGTTTAAGGCTGCTAACTTAATAAATTATTTAGTGTCGGTATCTGAAGGCCTGGTTTGGTACTGAACCCGCAGATTGCGAGTCGAGTGCCCTAACCACCAAGCCGTGAAACATTGATTTTGTATTAACAAATAAAAAGTCATTCAGTAGTGATAACTAAGAAAACAGTTAGAAATAATAAGTGGCTCCTTTTTGGAAAATTTAAAAATGATTTGGTAATGGCAGCTGAAAAAAACTCCGCATATAACACTTGTAATTGTAAAGGTAATTTAACACCATGTTATCGAGAAAAAAATATACTTGTTTTGGAAGAAACAATTTAGTACTGCTTGCTATAAATTAATTACTCTAGTAATAAAAACTGGTTTAGTTCTGGTAATTTTATAAAATATGTTTAATATTACTAACCTAAACCAAGTAAGTTATTTAGTTGCGCTAATTGAAGAAATGATTTCATAAAGGTAACTCAAAATCTCATTTAATATTGCAAAAAAAAAACTCCTTCGGGATTATTCTTAGAATATAAAACTCAACTTTTAAGTAGAAATCTCGTCAATTTTGTTATCAAACATAAACTATAGACTTTAAAAAATTTCTGATTTCTTGGAAATACAAAACCAAAACTATATAAATGTGACAAAGCTTTAGTAATGATAAAATCACAATATGTGTATTTGTAGTTTGTATATGTAGCAAAGCTAATAAGGCTATCTATCTATAGTCTTTTCTCATTTTGAATTACTGACCAAAGGGAAGGCAGCCAATCAGTAGCAAACTAATTGAATTGTCTGTCATACTTATAAACCCCCAAACCTTAATATTCTGAGAATATTTTGTGGTATCGTAAAATTTTGAACTCGGCTCGGCAGTTCCGGAATCCAAAGCCGCCAGTTCCGGAATCCAAAGCCACCAGTTCCGGAATCCAAAGCCACCAGTTCCGGAATCCAAAGCCAACCTGCGCTCCTACAATATGCATACGAAACTTTTTACTTGACTTTCAGGTTCTTAACAAAAATGAATAGGTGTAGTCTATTGATTTGTATGCTGCATTGTGGATCCGTGGGTCCATGATTCGCGTCCTGTTACTCTTATCTATTAACTTAAACTTATGGACGGTTATATCCAAATAGCTATTGTGTAATTTATCGCGAATGGACGAAGCAAACCAAACTCAATTTAACCGATTTGGCTTCAAGTTTTATATGAGAGGTTTTGCATCAGTCAGATGGTCAGTTAAGTATTAATTGAAAAGACCAAACAAATTTCATCGAGAAGAAGCACGGCAGGATTAAAGTTTACTGAAACTAATAGTAAAACTGGTTGAGTTTTCTTCTTAAATAAATTATAATTCTTTAAACACAAACTTCAACAAGAATAAGATCCTATTTTTGAAAAAGTATAGTGAATATAAACAAAGTTTTGTTTTAGTTGAAATGATAGAGCAAAATGCATTTACATTAGACTAATATCAATCAGACAATTGAAACACATTTACTAACTACTTTGTTGACGAGTAACTACTAAATATGGCACATGTAGTCCATTCATCATTTAACTGTCTGTAATAAATCAGTCTTCTTTCTAACTCTCACTGGTAATTAATACACACCAGTTGATAAATCGGTCTTCTTTCTAACTCTCAGTGGTAAATAATACACACCAGTTGATAAATCGGTCTTCTTTCTAACTCTCAGCGGTAAATAATACACACCAGTTGATAAATCAGTCTTCTTTCTAACTCTCAGTGGTAAATAATACACACCAGTTGATAAATCAGTCTTCTTTCTAACTTTCAATGGTAAATAATACACACCAGTTGATAAATCAGTCTTCTTTCTAACTTTCAATGGTAAATAATACACACCAGTTGATAAATCAGTCTTCTTTCTAACTCTCGGTGGTAAATAATACAAACCACTTGTGTAGCGAAGGACAAATGCCACGATGGACGAGAGATCTCACTGTGCCGCCCCTCAGAATTTGCGTGCTGAATTAAACAAATGCCACTAGAGACAAGATCGCACAGTGTCGCCCCTCAGAACTTACGTGCTAAATTAAACAAATGCCACTCGGCACGAGAACTCACAGTGCCGCCCCTCAGAACTCACGTGCTGAATTAAACACAATACGTAATGCAATAACTTTATTACAAATCTAATTAAATACAGTATATTTGCAATCAAACAGGTACACCTTTGTTTGCCGCCTTTCTAAATGGTCATTGGTCTACCAGTGATTTGGTCTATAGAAGGGGGGAAAAATTGGCGCTAGTGACAGAACTGCGATTTTCGCACCTAATAGTACTAATTCTACAATCGCGATTATACCATCAAAAGGGTTAAACAACTGCTGTTGGCAACAAATTTGCCGCCTCCAAAAAGTGCCTACTTAGATCAGAATAAAAACTAAACTACTGATAAGAATAAAACATTAGTTATACCTTCCTGACATTTTTACTTTTAGAGAATAGAATACTTTGTTTCATCATATGGGTATCGATATTTTCGACCGTAATATCTCACGAGCTTCGACCCGCTTAGGAGATTTAGGTTATTTCTAAATTAATATACTAAGCTAAAATGCAAAATAATAAAAATAGAATAATGAAATATTAAAAACAATACTTATAGATATAGTAAACATTGTAACCAATGAAAGTAACATTACAGAAAGAACATATATATTTTACACACAGAACACATAAACATAAATAGTTTGTTCCATGCAGTATCGTAGATCTTTGGTGAAAGCTTTATTATAAACTTAGAAAGCAAATTACTTTTATTAGTTTGGAATTCTAATTACTTGTGAAATTAGTATTAGGTTTCTACCTATGGAGCCGATTTTTAAAATTTAGTGTCTCAGATCTTCATCCAAAACTAAATCCCACAGACGCTCTTCTCAGAAACGTCACCATATAAATCACGGTAACATACGAAGTATCTAGTCACCAGATAGTTTGATTACGTTTTAATGAGTGCAATTCTAAGAATGTTAATTCCACGCATTTCTCACTAATTAAAGGTAGAAAGTTTGATTGGATTGCTGGAATTGTTCTGTCGAACTTTTTTCAACTCGCTGTGTTTAAATTGATTTTGGTTATTTATCAATTAAAAAAAAACACTGAGTGTGTTAATACTTAGTTTAAAACACTTTTTAAACCATATAAACATATAACTTTTAAATTAGAATGATATGTGGTCAAAAAACATGATCTGTAGGAAAGTGTTTTGAGCATTTCATGTCTCTGAGAAAAAATACAAGCCACACAATTCAAAAGTGCACCAACAGATTTTAGCCCTAATTTACAGTAATAATGTGACTTTATCTTAACTTTAATTAACTATACATTTCTAGCAACATCACTTACCCAGCCTGACCTAAACATCAATGTTAATTAGTTTTTGTTTTCCTCCAGTGGTGCACGCACAAACAGACGGACCTGACTGAATGTTCTTCCATCTCAGGGAGTAGATAGAACAAAAAGAATTTTCTGGAAGCTTTGCAAAAGAAAAAAGAAAATATGTTGCTAAAATATAGAAGAACAAAATAAAAGACTACATTTGTTTTTTGTTTTTTTGAAATATTGAATAAAAAATCACAAGGTAATTGCTACGCTTATAGTCCAAACACATTTTCCTCAAATGTGTTTTTTGACTCACTTCAGCCCTACTTCTCAGGCGACATTCTAAATCAATAGTATAGACACGGTTGCAGCGTGCCCAAAATGTTCTTGCTTTTCCCTCAAACGAGGCATCAACTCCTCAACTATAACCGCATGTTTTGTATTGTTAATCCTTATATTTAGAGTTCAAAAAGGTTCAAAATGATTGTTTCCATTTAACTAGTAATTCACCTTTCTTAATTAAAAAATCGTGCTTTTGTATAACATATAAACATGAAATACATTAAAAGAGCTATAAAGACTTCCCAGGCCGCTTTTCTTTTACTACGCCTTTTCTCTGAACATTAGGCGATAGACTTTTCGCTCTGGCGAAATTATCGATTAGTTTGCAGTCGGAACTGACACTGTGCTTACGCTAGAGGGCGCTCCATTCAGCGATAACTAAAATTTTCTCACCACTATTGCAGAGAAGCTCAGGGAACAGTTGAGAGACAAGCCGAGGCCGAAAGCTCTAATTCTCGACATTCTTGTTTGAATTAAGATATTGTCTGATAATGTTCAGCCGTCTCCAGATGTACAAGATGAAGATATAACTGGTAAGGGAACTTTAGCATATAATCAGTTAGATATAGACGGCTAGTGAGCGATCCAGTTGTTTTGTCCCACTCCCGGTTTCATATTACTTGGGTGCTGAGGTAGAGAAGGGGTTAGTGCTTAACTTGCTCCATTCAATGCGTATTTAGGTACTGACCAGTGCGCAAAATCCTGCGCGTTAAAAAAAAAGTTCGAAATCAGCGTAGAGTTAGAAAAACATAGAACACTAACACAAAACAACATTGTTTTTGCAATCAACTTAGCTAACTGTTTAGTCACAAGTCAAAACAGTTATTACAAACGATCCAACGGATTAAAACTCTAAACGTCTTGCCTCTTGGTGTCCTGTGGTCTTAAGTACGAATGTAATGTAAGAGAGTAATAACACCACACATTATAAGCTTCAACTAAACAACAAATTATGTGTAAAAAAAAAAGTGAAAAGTCATAGATATTTTGAACACGAAAAATTACACATACCATGTAATAATAATAAGCCAGAGGCTCCTATTGTTAAATAAGCTTACAGATGCATGTGCTGACCATTAGCTATGTAAAAAGAAATGATTATCAAGCTATTTTACCAGCTGTAAATGTATTAAATACAAACCTTTCTTTAAGTCTATCCTAGTTCATTAGTTGCGTGCAGGAACAGGTTCTCAAACTAAGTGGTAATATAAAAAAATGTGAGGTTCAATGTTTTCAATTCTAGTTTTTCTGTTTAGAGTGACATTGACGAGTAATGTGTTTAACATCACTGAATAACATCTAAAAGGTTTGCAATTTAATTAACATTATCCAAAACATTTCGTTCTTACTCCCAAGTTTTAGAACTTGGAGAAAATTCAAATAATATTTACTGCTTATTCTTTTCTTTTTTTTCTGCTCAGTGAAATCACTACAAGTAGCCCAAAACTTCATGTATAAAATTAAACAGTCATCACATTTAAAGTTTTAGATGTTATTACAATTTTGTTACCATATACATGTTGTGAAAAAGAAGCAAAGTTATCAAATACACCGCGTATTACATAAGGTGTCGTTTAACTGGCTATTTAATCCGCGTATTACATAAGGTGTCGTTTAACTGGCTATTTAATCCGCGTATCACATAAGGCGTCGTTCAGCTGGCTGTTTAGTCTGTATTATTGAGGTAGCGTTCAAGTGGCTATTTGGTCCATGTATTATATACACTGTCGTTTAAATGGCTGTTTAGTCCATGTATTATATACACTGTCGTTTAACTGGTTATTTAATCCGCGTATCACATACGGTGTCGTTCAAGAGGCTGTTTAGCTCGTGTATTATATAAGATGTCGTTTAACTGGCTGTTTGGTCCATGTATTATATAAACTGTCGTTTAACTACGAGCTAAACAGCCAGTTAAACGACATCTTATATAATACACGAGCTAAACAGCCAAACGACATCTTATATAATACCTGATAGAAAATGTCAATGTTTAAAAACTAGACGACGTTGGTATAGATTATATCTAATTGAAAAGCTTCATCGCCAATAAGAAGAAGAACGTCATTCATGAGGATCGGATTCCTATTGTTAAATACAAGGACCATATATCAAGTTCTTTGATGCAATTAAAAACAAGAACAATATATTCAAGGACTTTCTTTAAGTTTGGAACTAATAAACTAGAGGGAAGGTTACTGGTCAATATTACACACGGTCAACGCTTGGGCTATTTTGTAACCGATTTGTGGGATTTGGCCGCCACTCTTAAGCCCACTGTGACTCAGTGGTTAGCGTATAGGACTGTGGATTTGAGGATCCATTGTTCACATTCTGATACTACAAAAATAAAAAACATCGTGCTTCTCACTTTGGGACTGTGGGTTTGTATATAGCAGGGATAGGCACATCCAACTATTCGATTAGAATAGCTCACGAGTTGGTAGTGTTGAACAATTGCCTTCACTCTAGACTATCACTTTAAAACATGAACGACTAGCACAGATAGCCCTCGGGCAGCTTTGCGCGAAATTCAAATTCAATAACAACAGTTATTATTATAGCTCACCCAAGGCCCCAAACTTCAGAGCGCGATTTTGCGGCAACGGGACTCAAGTCATGAATCCTCGAATTGATAGTCCAGGCACGCTAACCACTGTCCACACCCGACCCAAGAAAACTAACAGACATCAGGTTGAAGGCCCAGTTAAACTCGTCTACAGTAAAGGAGTTTAAAATGTTTTGTGAGGGTTTTAGGAAAACTTATATGTTACACTTATTATTGCATTAATGAGAATTAAATGTTTTATATATAATTTTAAAGCTTGACTGAAATAAACAAATAAAAAAAAACGTTTTTAATCATTTTCATATAAAACTCACTCGTAACAGTACTTTAAGGTCTCAGGATTACATGACATTTCAAAGTAAAAGTACAATAATTAGTAATAATTTAATGGTTTTCATTTAGAAAACCAACTATTGACGGTAGGAAACATATGATAAAAAATAATATAAATTTTTCTACAATAATACTTATTCGTCAAAATACCTTTAAGGTCTCATAATTATGTGACATTTCAAAGTAATATTACAATAATTAATAATAATTTAATATTTCTTATATAGAAATTCTGGACTGTAGGAAACAGATAATAAAAAGTATTAATTTTTCTACAATAAGACGCAAGTGTAACAATTCTAAAGTCTCTGGAATTACCTGAAATTTCAAAGTAATTTTGCATTAATTAATGAAAATTTAGTGTTTTGTTTTATACAGAAAAATCAGCACTTCACTGTGTAAAACTAGTTATAAAAACGTGGTTATTTATTTTGTAATAAGTCTCAAATGTGACAGTTCCTGTATAATTTCTGCAGTTACTTGGCATATCCCCCCTGTAACCTTTTAAGTGCAATATTTAAAGTAGAGTAAATACAATTACCTTATTATGAAAAACACAAGTTAAATAATCTGTAAAAATGCACGTTAAAAGCTTTAAATATAATGTTATAGTAAACGTATTGTTCGGCATTGCTTTGGAGTACATTTTGTTACTGTCTTTCTTTTTTTACTGCTAATTAGAGTGTTTTGGACTGAATTTATTTTTCAATTCGATACTTTAGTCTGGCCTAAAAGATAGCTAGGGTTTGGCGCGATGATAGTGGGTAGTTTCTGTAGTTGTTATAGTTTGTAAGATTTCTACTGGTATTCCTGAAAACAAATCCTTAATTATTAGCTAAAATTCATCTTAAAGAGAAATAAACGTTTAATTAATTCACTATAGATGTCACAGTAGATAGGACATTATTTACAAACTTGACATTAGAACTACTTATCTCTCGAGGTCTCGGCGGATAAAAGATTAACACTACAAACACATCTTCAGTTGACAAGAACTGATATCACTGAACTAGTCAACACTACAAACACATCTTCAGTTGACAAGAACTTATATCACTGAACTAGTCAACACAACAAACACATCTTCAGTTGACAAGAACT